GACGCATAAGGAGCAACTTGTTGGTCGATGATGAACGGGATAGTCCATGTCTGATCAAGCTTGACGACCAACCGCCCTATGGCGGCTGAATCGGACTTCTTCAAAACTATATCACCTGGAAGGAAAAAATGTCTTTACACGTACATGTTTGTTGTAGTAACCGATTGTTATTTTTATTTCCTCTTGTTGTAGAGCAACATTCGTTTGACTTTCTTCTAATAGATCAAGTGCAAGTGAAGCTACTTCATTCGCACATTGCCGATTTGTCAATTTAGCATTTTCTTGGTGGGGTTCTCTATTGTAGCCCAGACATTGATGCATGTTGCTACAATACCGAGAAACATAGTGTCAAGCTTCTCTTCCGACCATAGGTCAATGCCAGCAAGTTTAAACTTTTTGGCGTTCAACAACTTAAAATTGATAAATTTAATTCTAAAGAAATTGAATTTCAATATAATTACAGTTCAATAAAAGAGTTTCTATTTACTAAAATTTTCTTTTGCAACTACCTCTTTGGTGCATCCACTGTTCTCTTAGCAAGGTCACACACTAATTCAGTAGCCCTTCTTTTCATCTCCTTCAATAACATTCAATTACTATTAACTTCATCTCATTTATTTTTCAACTGAGTTTTGTCGTATAATCTATCGATTCTTTCTTGAAAGCTTATCGTGATATTTTGTCAACGTTCCTCATTAAAATGTGTGATTGGTATTTTCTACCTCCCTCAAGCATAAATTACAAAATTATTTTCATCTCTTTATGCCAAAATGGCAGACATCTCACCTTTTTTTCTTTACACGTATGATATATCAATCAATAACAAAATGTAGTCAAGACAATATTATTTAACAAATAAAATTAAATTACTTAAAGACAAAAAAGAAAGGGTGAAGAAGAAGATTTCGAAGTGGAGCTCAATGAGTCAAGTTATCAAAAAAAGCTCCATCCAGGATCACCGATTATGTCATTTAAGATTAAGGGTTAGTTAGCATCGGTGAAAATTTTGTAAAGTTGATAATTAAATTCATAATTGGTGATCAGTTGAGCCATTTATTTTATTATTTCCAGCACTAACCAAACCAATATCACATAATTCATGTATCGATACATATCAGACATTGAAGCCCTTTGTTTTCAACATCTCAACTTGCTCAACAAAGTTATCACCTTTCATTTTCCCTCTTATTTAATAAAAAAAAAGTTATGGATTGAGAGATATATGTGCACTGCTATTTGTTTTCAAAATTTAGGTTGATATTATTTTATATATTTAAGTTCTAATATTAGTTGTTTATTTGGTTGCTCTAGCCTCTTCTTCAATCCAGGGAAACATTTTCCGAAGAGAAATATGAGCACATCTGCTTCATTGGACATTATAAATGTTTCCTCATATTCTCTCTGTCTCCACTAGAAAATTGCATTGATCATATGATAATCTAGAATTTCAGTTGTTAAATAAGCTACATAAAGTGGTTCACAGTAGCTGCATTTCATTACCACTTCTTGAATCCAAAAAAACATTTTCTAGAAAGAAATTTGAGCATTGTTTGTCTTTTTATTTAAAAAATTATATCATTGGGAATATCTCCATTCTGATGCAAACATGAAGGTTAGATGCTAGATAAGTTATCACCTTCGATTTTCCTCCTGTTCAATCATGCTATCCAAAACGGCACAGCAAACGAACCATTAGAGCTCAGTGAGATCTCCTAAAGAATCACTATTTTTATCAATTAGGCTTCAAGGCTAACATAGTATCTATGACAAACACTTGTATGTGTACTATAAGAACATGTAGTATCTGTGGCAAAACTTATTTGTCAATTTTAGACTTGACAGTTGGTGACCGGATAAGCCATTTGATAGTTAATTTAAATCCTTGCAATAAATAACATTTCGAATACGAAATGCATTGCGGTCAAAAATTCAAAAACCATCCTAAATACCAAAGCACAAACCAAATTATCCGGCATCTAAACTTCAACTTTGCATCTGTTCAAAGATATTCCCAATGTAACATCAATAGCATTCCAAATAAATCTCTCTGAAGACATTCTCAATTGCATAATTTATTAAAAAAGAAAATTGTACTCAAATTTCTCTCCATAAAATGTTTCTTTGGATTAATGAGGCAAGAGCAATCAAATTAATCATCTAACATCATAAATTAAATATATAAAATAGCTTCAACATAAATTTAAAAAAAAAAATAGTGCACATATATATGTCCTTCCATAATTTTTCCTGATTGAGCAGGAGGGGGATGGAAAGTGATATAACATACCTAGCATCTAACATTCACATTTGCATTAGCACAAAGACATTCTCAATGGTTTAAATTTTCAAAATGAAAAATAAACAATGCTCAAATTTTTCTTTAGAAAATATTTTTCTGGACCGAAGAAGAGGCAAGAGCTAGCATGACCATCTAATATCAGAACTTGAATATAAAAAATAGCTAAAACATAAATTTTCAAATAAAAAAAAATAGTGCAATATATCTCTCTTTTCATAATTTTTCCTGATTGAACAGGAGAGAAATTGAAAGTGATAACATATCTAGCATCTAATCTTCACATTCGCATCAGCACAAAGACATTCCCAATAATATAATTTTAAGAAAAGTAAATAATGCTCAAATTTCTCTCTAGAAAATGTTTCACTTGATTGAATAAGATGCAAGAGCAATCAAATTGACCATCTAACATCAGAATATTAATATAAAAAATAGCTCCAACATAATTTTTTTAAGAAAGACCAATGCACATCGCTTTCCTTCCATAACTTTTCCAGATTGAGCAGAAGGAAAATGAAAGGTGGTAACTTATCTAACATCTAATCTTCACGTTTGCATCAGCACAAGGAGATTCACAATAGTAAAATTTAAAAAAAAAATAAATTGTGCTCAAATTTCACTAGAAATTGTTTCTTTGGATTGAAGAAGAGGCCAGAACAATCAAATTAACCATCTAATATCAGAACTTGAATATATAAAATAGCTCCAACATTAATTTTCAAAACAAAAAACAGTGCATATATATCTCTCCACGCATAACTTTTTCTGATTGAGCAGGAGAACATTGGAATGTGGTAGCCTATCTAGCATCTAACATTCACGTTTGCATCAGCACAAAGGCATTGTCAATGGTATAACATTTCAGGAAAAAAACAAGCAATGCTCAATTTTTTCTTCAAAAAAATTTCTTTGATTGAAGACGCAAGAGCAAGCAAATTTATCATCTAACATTAGAACTTGAATATATATATAATAGCTCAAATGTAAATTTTCAACCAAAAAAAAACAAAACAGTACACATATCTCTCCTTCCATAACTTTTCCTGATAGATTAAGAAGCAAATGAAAGCTGAAAATCCACCTAGCATCTAAGTTTCACGTTTACATCAACATAAAGACATTCTCAATGGTATAATTTTTCAAAAAGAAAAAAACTAACAATGCTCAAATTTCTCTCCATAAAATATTTCTCTGGATTGAAGAAAAGCAAAGATCTAGCAAATTGACCATTTAACATCTAAACTTGAACATATAAAATAGCTCCAATATAGATTTTCAATAAAAAGAGCAGTGCACATATATCTCTCCTTCCATAATTTTTCCTGATTGAGTAGGAAGAAAATGAAAGTTGACAACCTATCTAGTATCTAACATTCACGTTTGCATCAGCACAAAAGCATTTCCAATGGCATAATTTTTCAAAAAAAAAAAAAAAAAGCTGTACTAAAATTTCTCTCCTGAACATGTTTCTCTGGAATTAAAAAGGGGGCAAGAGCAATCAAATTAACCATCTAACATCAGATTTTGAATATATAACATAGTTTTAACATTAAATTTCAGAAAAAAAGAGCAGTGCACATATATCTTCTCATGCATAACTTTTCATGATTGAGCAGGAGGGCAATGAAAGGTGTTAAACTATCGAGCATCTAACATTTACGTTTGCATTAGCACAAAGTCATTCCCAATGACTTTATTCAAAATAAAAAACAAATAATGCTAAAATTTTTCTCCATTATTTGTTTCTCTAGACTGAAACGTAGTTACTGTAATGCATTTTATGTACCTTATCTAAAAATTAAAATTCTAATTTTTCATCTGATCAATGAAAATTTGCATTGGAGATACAGAGAAGAAAAGAAAATATTTATTATGCCAAATGAAATAGATGTGCTCATATCTCTATCCCCAAAATGGTTCTCTAAATTGAAGAAGAGGCAAGAGCAACCGAATTACCCATATAACATCAGAACTTTATAAATAATATGGCTTCAACATAAATTTTCAAAACAAAGAGCAATGATAAAAATGAAAACCATCAAACCACCGAGAACAGAAAAATACCAAAAACGAAAACCTTCAAACCACCCCAATACAGACAAAGGAGATTGTTGGAAACATACAAAGGTAGACAACGAGAGTCGACGACACAAAGAACAGATGGAGAGGAGCTTGCAGTTGGGTTTCTGCCCTAATGACAGGTTACAATCAAGAATGGGGAGGGGACGAGGGGGCATTTGTGGGGATAGAAAGAGAAATTTAAGCTATTGAAGAGGGACAAGGAAGACTTTTCAAAGTTGGAATGGAGCTCATACCGCAGAACACACTTGCCCCCCATCGTTTCAGCTTTCGCCAATCCGCGGCCGGACATCAGCGAAATTGTTGCAATAAGCAGGCTCCCAAACACAGTGATTGTCACTTCAAGGACAAGAAACGGAAAAAATAGGGCCCAAATGCACCCTTAATTATGTATGTTAAAGCACGCACTGCCAGAGCCAAATTAATGCCAATATTTCTATTAAAATGAATGCCCAAAAAATTTTTATTTTCTTTGTAAACAAAGACAAATCAGAAAGAAAAGTCATAAATTAGAAACAAATGAAAAAAAAAGATTGTGAACTCTACAATTGATGAAAATCACCAAGTTAACCATTTTACTCCATTAACATAGGAAGCACAATGTTAAATTGAATTTGTAGACCTGCCAATATTGGGCGCCCAAGCTACAGCATGTACTCTATCATCTGTGTCTGCAGGTAAAGCTAATTCAGCAACTGGTAGCCATCTTTGATAGGAGTCTTCAAATTTCCAAATCTACAAAGATTCAACTACTCAAAGCATTAAAATAAAAGAATTTAAAAAAAAAAACCTCAATGAAAAAAAGCACCATGCAAAATCCAATAAAATAGGGTTACAATCTTTGTGAGCAAGCACAAAAACGGCTTTTATAAGGAAATCAGGTCATTTCATCCTGTTTATGATTGAAAGCCAGTCAGTATCAACTTGAAATGGCAGCCAGCCTACTAAAATATCAATTTCTACCTATTCTATGCCATATTTTTACCAATAGCAGTTTTTTTTTTATCATCAAGGCCCGCTAATTGCAAAATCCTTAGAAGGCAGTAAAGAGTTTAAAAAGAAATCGACAATGCCTCAAAGTTGATCGTCACAAAATTAATTTGAAAGCTATTCGTATACATCAAGTGCTATCAACTTTGGCACTGGGGATTTTTTTTTCGAACCTCCATTGCCTTCTAAGGATTTTGCAGCTAGCGAGTTTTGATGATAAAAAAACTGCTACTGATCGTAACAAAAGTAACTCACTTTGCTATCCAAAAGCCATTCGTATACATCAAGTGCTCCCTCTTAAATTCTTTAGCATAGTAGACCGAGCATAAATTCTCAACACATTAAGCTAAAATTTTCGGAAAAAACCTACTACACAAGTACTTTAGACATGCAATATTTGAAGTTCATGACCTCATGACCTGCCATCAACACTCAAACAATTTCAAATAAAGCTTTAGAAGATTTCGTAATAAAAAGCTTGAAACCGAGAACATTCAGTGCAATTTCAGTTTGAATCATGCAATGTTGCGCTCGATATTTATTTTTGACATTGTATTCACTCGCATTAGATTGTGTTATATCGACGTCAACAGTGTTATCATATATAAATTAAATTATTGGGTGTGATGCAGGAGAAATTCTTTATATTTTAAAAACATGTTTACAGTTTGCTTTCATCAGTAAATAATAATGAAATTTTGGTTAATACATGCTTATAATTAAATGCATATTTATTATATAAATGTTTTGTTAGTCAGTGATACTTTTAAATGAAGACATTTTCTATATGTAAACTATATATTTGTATATAATGTTCTTCATCATATTTAAAATTGATTAGCATACTTATTTAAAAAATTAGTGATGAAGATATGTTGAGCTTAAAAAATGTCATGTCATGTGAAGTCGATTGGCAATGATATATTAATGATACCTACGCAAGTAGGGTAAAGGGGTCCTAAATAGAGGCAAGACGGACCACAATATAATTCAATTGCAATAATGTGGGTACTTGGGTTCTATTGAACTTGATGATATAGCCTTAAGGCTAATTTATATTTTAAGTTATGTGGTGTGAGTTTTTAACTTACTGCCTTATGATGACTAGAAAACATAGAAAATTGTATATGACAAATTCTAAAATCAAAGTGAAAGAGAAGCAAAAAATAAATAAGCAAACGGACTTTATACATTTAAATTAAAATATAAGTAGATTATTGGCTGACTTAATAAACAGAGAAAAAATTCATTTGAAATTCAATGTTATTTCTTGGACAAAAAAAAAATTTAATGTTAATGTTCATGCAATCAAAACAAATTTTCACTGTTATGGTAATGTATTACTCATATAGACACCGTTTTACGATAATTTACATTCATAATTAATATACAAGTAGTTTATTGATCCTCAATATTTGAGTTATGTATCAGATTTTATTACCTTCCTGAACCACATAGCTCATAGATTGATATAAATATTATTTTCAATAAAAAGAAAAGACAAGAAAAGATTTAAGCTAAGTAGAATCAATACATATTTGTGATCATATTAAAAAATAAAGAAATTTTGATATAAGACATCTAACGAAGATTATGTTTCTATAAAAATTTTATTGTGTTTTAGATACGTTGCAATAATATTTAAATTATCTATTGATTACTTCCACTTAATTTGAACGTTTGATTTAATTTTTGTAATGTGTTGATGCAAGTCCGAATGAATAAAGGTGACTGAATTATCTCCCACTCTATTCAGTTGAGTAATATACATAAATCAGTGTTAGATCCCACTCTATTCAGGTGAGTAAAATACATAAATCAGTGTTAGAAATATATTCAATCAGTTGAATCACGCCCGTCATTATTGCATCATGCATGACATATAATGTCAATTTTTCACTCAAAAGCATATACCATCACTTTGTTTTTACACCTTAATTGATCATGCACAGCATGCTTTGCAATTAAATAATATGTAACTGAGCTGGTACTGGTTTGTGGATCAAAATGGAGTATACTGGAGTAATAACTTGTACTACAGTTTACAAAATAGCAGTTTGTAAAATAATCAATGCTAAAAGCTTACAAAGTTAGCAGCCATTGAATCTATCATATTGAGCATTTTAACAAAAATCAGCATACTAGAATTACAAAATACTGAATGGCTACAGGCCAGAATAGCTGCATCAAATTGTCTAGTCCAAAACATAGCTTGCAGCGCATAGACTAAAAAAATGACCTCTTCAATATCAAACAGGATACGATCGGTCCATTTAATTCTAACGGTGACTATGGAAATATTATCATATTCTTAATTTTTACATTACCACCTCTCTATCTCAATTCTTTGCTCCCTCTACTCTTCCATCGCTCGATATAAGTGATCCCTTTTTCGTAAGGTGCTACGCATGACAATCGGTAAAGAGAGAGATAGCTTGACTTCCCTCTTTCCGCCGTGGAGGATGTGGTTTGCCCATTTCAGTTGAGAACTCTTTCTCGTATAGGGTGGCCCGTTCCTATGGAGAGCTTCGTATCCAAACATCTTTCCTTATGTATGGCACGTTTCCTTATGTATGGCATTCCTTATGTATGGCACGTTCATCTTTCCTTTCTTCCAAGCAAGCCGCCTATAGAAAGAATCCATTAGGGGGAGCAGTAACCTGGAAGTCAAGAAGGCGGTCATTGACGGTTTTCAGCCGCAAGTTCGATACTGTTTCTGTCGCCGGGAAGAGGGTGGTGACCTACCAAAGGTTTGTGTTCTCTACCGAACCAACGACGTGGCTTTCTGTCTCACATTCCTAGAGCTAGGTCAGTTGTCTATTTTCTTAGTAGAATAGCGGTAAAAAGCAGGTGCGACTGTAAGTCGCAAGCAAGCAAAGAGTCACAGCAGCTTTTTCGACTTTCTTGTGAAAGGTAGAATTTCTTACTCTTTCAGAAAGAACAGAGAAAAGGAAGTATGGCAAGGGGAACAGCGGAATAGAGTACTCAAATCGAAATTGAATCCCCATCCCCTGCCTGAGCTCTGCTCAACTTCGAATTGGAGTCAGCCTCTGACTTTAGGAATTCACGGATAGACCATTGATTCTTCCTTGTTTGGTGCAAGAAGCTCAATGCTGAATCCATAGTCAGGCATAAAGCCGATATCCGGATCCGTAATACCGTAACCGATGCTTGTACCTCATAGTCAGACTCTCTATCCACGTTCAGTCCGTTCATACTAAAGAGTTCGGACTTGAATACTCCAATCCGGTGCTCTTACTCAATCTTTGACGTAACTACACACTCCTACTAACTACTAATATTAGGTCGAGATCGGGCTCATTTCCTCAGTCCTTGTCAATTCCGAATTTGCTATTAAATGTTTGCTCTAGTTTTTTTTTGCTGTTGAAACGATCTTTCATTATCCATGGACAATGAGCTTTGATATATTGGGTGTATCTGTAAGTAATGTGTTTTGTATAAGTAATACACAGAACTATGCTAAACGCTAAAGGCTGCAGTTGAACCTAGTAAACTTGATTCTTAAGTATCCAAAAAATACAATATTGATGATATATAAATTATTTTTAATTTATTATTTCTTCATGATAGCTTCGGCAGAAGAAAAATATTATGTATTTACGGAATATTGACCTTGCAGGAATTGAATTGAGGAAGATCTGAGTTAAATCCCAATACAAAGCTTGATTGCTGTTTTTCACCTCTTCGAGGACTCCAAGCAACAGATGCAGATGTACATATTGGCTTCCCAAATGCAGAAACTGAATCAATAACATTCTGGAATTCAGCCTGCCAAAGAAACAATTATGACAACTCCCATTCATTTGAAAAGAAGAACTCATTCAACAAGCGAATAATTAGGTGGGAAATTGCTAACAAAAGTTTAAAAAGAAATCCTATAGATCGATTACTACAAATGGGAATCAGTATCCTATCTATATTTGAAATTGTGTCAAAAAATATAAAAAAGCAATAAAGCAGATGGGTTCATAATAAATGTAGTAGAATGAAAATAACTCTGAAATTATAAAGAAGGTGAATAACGCAAATTGTCCATCTTCACTGTCATTCAAATCTAAACTCTTCATTAAAACACAAAAAACACTTGAACACCTTATTAACAAAGCATGCAGATTACTTTTACTGCACTACATTTCTACTAAAAGAAAATATTTTAAATAAACAAGTGACAATGATTATTACAGACATTATTTTCCATGGATCACATATAATTCCTACAATTTACCCAAAAAGCCTGACAACTGTAAATATCTCTCTTGGATAATTTTTTATATCATATAATTTTAATTTGACAAAGTGGTGATTAGAAGTGGTACAAAAAGTTAAAACATAAAGATATGCTAGCATTAAAAAATAACAATTTCAAGACTGCGTGGTAATTTATGCCATAATAAGATAGTGACTTCTGCCATAACTTTCTATTAGAACAATATTTGGAAAGAATGCAGACAAGGGCATGATTCACTTCAAGAAGCTCAAGGATAGCCTTCCATGGTAGTTTTGCATGGAAAAAAAAAACAGCAATGAGGAAGGAAGAAGGATAATCCAACCTGCAATTGCCACTTGTTCAACTCCAATGAGTCCAAAAGCTCAAAGATCTTCACATGACCGTTTGAATAAGCAGCAACCTAAAAAGTTGAATTATAGTATCAGCAGATATATGTTAGCGAGGTCAGAAAACGTCAAATGAAACCAAAAGAAAAGAATAAAAACCAAAAATCCTCCTGAATGTAAGCATGATTACTGTTGACGTTAAAAAACACTGATAAAAATTATTAATGCTGTTAAATAAGTTAAATTACACTTAATTAATATTAAGTTAAATTTTAAACGCTTTTGCATAACTTAATCCCGTTTTTAGCCTTTTGCAACTGCTCCTCGGTCTCCCGTCTCATTTTCCATAACCGTTTGCACGAGCCTTATTCTTCTGTGTTTGAACCCCAAAACAGAACCCCTCTCCCTGTTTGTCTCTGTCATTGGTTTCGCATCACACCCCGTGTTCCTCTCTCGTCCTCATACAAACTTTCAGATTGTCATCCCCTCAAACTCTCGCCGAAGTTCTTCCAGTCATTTCCTTACTCGAAACCACACGCAAAAACCCTTATCCATCACTTCCTTACTCTTGGCCAAACTCATCTTCTCCCTGTTCGAGTGATACAGTCATGATTAGGTTTAGTGAGAAAGCGGCAATGGGATCACTACATCTCCTATTTCTCCTGTTCCGCTTTAAAAACCTCATACAATGCTGCTTATGGAAGCCTCCATGTTCCCTCTTCATCGGCTTCACATCAAAGACGGGTGTCGGTCAACTTTTTCGATGGATTGATTTGAAAATATGAATATGAAAATAATTTTTGAGATTTAATTTAAATATAAAAGATATATAGTTTGGGTTTTGAAAGTAGTATGTTTTAATTTTTAAAAAATGAGACCAAATGGATCTCATTCGTCCAATAGTTTGCATAATTGTGTCTGATACCGCGAATACTACACCCTCCTGAAAAATAAGTGTAGACCTCGGCGATAGACCCAATCCTGCAAACTAAGAGATTAGTGACATTCGTTTGGTCTGCGAACCTTTTATGTATGACCGACAAGTTACCCTATCTAATACAAAAATTAAATAGGGTTTATTTTACCTAAGTTCCAAGTTCCCTATAAAGACAAGCCCCTATAGTTAATTATATCTCAAATGATTGGAGTCACTTGAGAAAACTCTCGATAATGATCAGTGATTCTAGTCTTCAAGATTCTAAGGTTTAGGTTTTCACGGTAGGACGTGGAAAAAAAACAAGTGAGAGTGGCTCAAGTAAGAACAGTTATTTCAGCAGTCCAAACAGAAAACAAAATTAAAAAAAAAAAAAAAAAAGAGGAGGCCACGGTCTTGAGGAGAACCCTCAATGACTTCCCAAATTATCCTATATAGCCCGCAGAGATAAGAGGGTTTACGTCGTGTCACACGACAACCTCGGAACCTAAGGCGAGTTAGGACTTACGTTGCACAACATGGTTGTACAAAAGCCTAAAGAAGATGTGAGAATTTAAGTCGCGCTAGGCGAGCTACCTCGAAGTCCTATGAATTGTTATTATGCTAGGAAGAGATAATGCTGAAGAAGATCCTCTTATTGCTCGTTCCAAACTCCTTGTCATGCTGCCCACGAAGTTGGCTCCAAGCTCCTGTCGTCGCGACGGCTCCAGGATTTAAGTGTTTGGGATTGGTGATTTGTGCTTCTCAGTTTTGGTGTCAATGTTTGGTTTTGTATGCAGAATGAGTAGATTGCGGGTAAATGAAAAAAAAGTACTTGAAAGGTAAAATACAATAAAGTAAAATGCTGTGGATAAACTATAAAAGCGTACCTGGGCATCTGCTACTGTTGCGTTATTAATGTTGCGAGCATAGCATGATTTGCAGGAGATTTAAATAAAATTGCAAGAAAACTAAACAAGACGAGAAAACTCGGCACAAAAGTCAAAAAAAAAACGAGTCACAGCAAAAGAAACTCTTAACCACATATGACAGATCAGGACTGAGTATAAGACATTGGTAAAAGTGGGGGCTCAGAGCTGGGCTGTGTGCTTCCCGATCTTGAGCAAGAGTTACCAGCCCGACAATCTACAGAAGTCAGTCCTTAACCTCAATCCAAATGACTAATCATGGAATTTTATAAATTTTCATAGAAAAATTCTTTGAATTTTCATGCAAAAGTTGTTGTTTAAGTTTCTTTTTTATGCAAAGTTTTTTTTAACATGCAAAAGAAATTTTCATTTTTTATTTTTTGTAAATATTTTGTAAAATTGTATAGTCCATAGGCTAGTCACTCTAATCGTGCTAGAACTACTGACAACCTTAGAGTGTCGGGGGCAACGATCCTACCAAAAATTGACGAATAGTATCATAGGCCCTTCCCTCTCCCTTATTGAAGATCCTTGAGGTAGGAGATACTATTCTAATATTCTCACTTCGTATCCCTCGTTTAAACACACATAAGCAATGTCGTCATCGCCCTCGCCACCTAGACCCTAGACTTATCATAGTCCGATGGTCCATACGCGATGTTAAGAAATTTCCCCAATTGCCAAGAGAATTTGAGTGTAATATTCGAGCTCAAATCCCGATGCATTGGGTTTCATTGTAGGTTAAGTCATTGAGGGAATTTCACTATTGATTTAATTAAGGAAGCATGGGTCACGTCTCGGTGCATCATGTCTAGTGTTTTAGTCAGTTGTGAATTATGGTCAAGTGTCTAGTTTCATTGTACATTCGAGGATTAGGTGAATAGACTCTAACATAAGGTATGTTCCTAAAACCTTGGAAGGTTACACTACAGAGATTAAGTAGATGGGCTCTCACCTAAGGTGTGCTCCTAAAGACTAGGAAACCTACACTGTAGATTAGGTGGATGAATTCTCACCTAGGGTGTACTCCTAAAATCTAGGAAGTCTATGCTGAGAATTACTGAGAATTAGGTGGATGAACTCTCACCTAGGGTGTGCACCTAAAGTCTAGGAAGCATACACTGAGAGCTAGGTAGATGGACTCTCACCTAGGGTGTGCACCTAAAGTCTAAGACGCCTACACTGAGGGCTAGGTAGATGGACTTTCACCTAGGGTGTGTTCCTAAAGTCTAGGAAGTCTACATTGAGGGCTAGGTGAATGAACTCTCACCTAGGGTGTGCTCCTAAAATCTAGGAAGCCTATACTTTAGCTTGTGCTTAAAATGATGTTCTGCCGCCAATTAAGTGTTTTCCAAGTAATTAAATCATAAATTCTCATTTTTGACTTGACCATTTAAAAAGAAGTAAAACAAAAGAAAGATGAGGCAGACCCACTTCCAAAACTAGTAAATTCAAGGGAGACAACAACGAGTGGATCGACCTAAAAGCGTTTAAATAATAATCAATTGAAACCCAAAACATTGGGCAAAAAGGGGTCCGTAAAACAAATTCTAAACCGCATGTAAATCAACACTTAAAGGCTACATAAGTCTTGCCAAAATAGTGCGTAGATTACCTCAAAGTCAGCCCACCAAAATGTCTTAAAACAGTGATTAAAACAAGCCCGTAAATGATGGGTTTAGTGCCTCCAAAACAGTAGGTAAAACTCTCAAAATCAGCCCTAAAACAGTAATTTTAAAATTCCCAGACAGCTCTCATGTAAGATCAAGGCATCAATTTTAAATATCCAAAAATCAGTTAGGAAATTCAGTCCAAAATAGTGTGTAAACTCTCCAAAATCAGTTAACAAATTGTCTTTAAAATAGTACATGAATCAGTTGACAAAGCCCTGAAAATCGCAATGTTTAAATCTACAAAACAACGTGTAAAACAGCCCCCAAGGGAGGCATTCGGAAATGAAAGAATATAGACCTGCAAAGAAGCATTCAAGCCCTAGAATAACGATCATATCGAGTCTCATAGTATTTCCTTTCGAGTGCTCGAAACATGAAATTGACAAATGAGTATTTAAGATCAACAAGTAAATGGTCATTGGGACATCAAAGTATTTGCATTTAGGTGTTTGAAACATAAAACCAGTAAATGAGCGTTTAAAATCAGCAATAACATATAATCAAAATATTGTTTATATTTCTCCAAAATGAGTAAGAATGTATTCATGTGGAGAGGATTCCATTTCAAATTTATGTAAATAATTTGATAGTCATAAGATAAGATAGCTGGAAGAATATACCTGTCTCGAGGTTGTTGTTCGCTGGCGAGAAGGAGGCTAGCAGCTTCAGTCGAGTAAAGAAGAGATTCGGGCGCTTCTCCTGCGTGCGTGAGGAAGAGGGAGGTCGAATCGAGCTGGGTGCCGCGTGAGG